TTTTTTTTTTTTTTTTTGGAGGGAGATGATGATCGGCTAGTCATTGAAGGCATAGCGTAAGTAACCGACATCGATTCCCAACTCCCTATCATATGTGCCTAAATGCAAATGTAAACTTGATTTGACTAGGATGGTCCATTCAGCTACGAGTCTGGTATCCAAAGGGGCCCTACTGGCATCCATAGGGACCCTGCCTATTAGAGTTTCTTTTTGGTTCTCTTTTCTGCTTTGAGCGTTTAGTTTTCCTGGGTTCTCTAGCTTAAAATTATTTTTTTGGAATTCCAAATAGAAGAAGAGCYTCTCTTTGGAAATGACATGGCGGTCTGACGTAACAGAATTTTGATGTAAATGTCTTCTCTGTTTCGTTGTGTAGTCTGGATGAACTAGAACGTGCAATAGAAGAAGGCATCCACTGTGTGAGCTACGAAGACGACGATGAAATCCCTATTGGATCACTCTGTATGGCGTGCTTTACTAAAGATGACAAGTAAGAGACAAGATATGACAGATAATTGAGGGGCTCCATTAGAAAGTCCATGATCTAACACATTCTGCTGTTATTTCTTGGTGCTTCGTGCTTTGATTTTTTGTTTTTGTTTTTGTTTTTTTTGTTTTTGTTTGTTTGTTGTTGTTGTTTTTTGTTTTGTTTTGTTTGTTTATACTTTAAACAATTTATGCCTGTTAATAGAATACAGGTCTATTGATTGTCCCCACGAAAATGAATTCTTTCTCGTGTAAATCAGATAAGACCAAATTAAATTGTTCCTGCCTCCTGCCATGGCTGCCATCACGTGATGCTGCAAAGCCTCTATATATACGAAGCGGACTTAATAGTCTCCTGTCCCTCTCTTCCAGGTGGTATCGTGCACGTATCCTGGGCACGAAGCTTGATAACGAGTATGACGTGTTCTTTGTCGATTACGGTGATCGTGAGTGGTTGACGCGCAGCAGATTACGTCCAGTGTGGACAGACATCCTTACTCTTCCTCTACAGGCTGTCGAGTGCTCATTAGTCAACGTTATCCCTTTAGGTGAGCAGTTGAATTTACCTTCTAGCCTTAGATGACATTATCTATTAGTGGGACATTGAATTTATTTGCCTTTCTTTTTTCTTTTTTCGTTCATTCCGTTTCTTCCTTCCTTCCTTCCTTCCCTCCCTCCCTCCCTCCCTCCCTCCCTTCCTCCCTCTTTCCGATCCTTTCTTCATCCATTAAGAAGAATTTCAATTTCAATAGTTTCAAGTTCTCTGTTACTCAGGGTTAGTCTCGATTTTGTACAGAACATATTCACGTGTTCCAATGTGGCTACGTGGATTTTCAAAGTTTTTGTCTTGTTGAAGTTGTGCATTCTTTACTTTGCCGTTGATATTTGTGAATATATAGGCACTGATACAAGGCTTACCCTTAGTAAATGAGTCTGTGATCAATTAACACAGCGGTATCGTACGAAGTCGAAAATAGTTTGTTCTGTTCTTGACAGAAAACGACTGGACTACCTCAG